AATGTAGAAAGACCGTTAGACATGGAAAAGTACGATCACCGGATGGATGGGGCATATTTTCGGTTGGTTTTCTCATCATTATAATCATCACGCGCTGGTTGTCGATGAAGACAGACAGCGGATGCACAGAAACCAAGGATGATTCGTCTAAGGCCAGACATGATGACCCGGGACATCTGTGACACACTGAACTCCCTGGTTAAGGGCGCTCGTGATCGACCTAATGGAGCTCATGCATCTATTCACTTCCGACTCAGATCTAATTTACTGTCGTTAATTTCTTTTCCGATTTCGATAGTGCATTTTGCTTTCAAATCATTCCGCTTCATTCTCCTCGTCCTCCTCCTGCTTTATTTATCAATACGTAGCCCACAGACCACCATTCAAACTAGTCAAGAGGACAGTGCAAGGTTGTGAACAGTGAAACTGAGCAACAAATGTGAATGGTTGGTGGGGAGGCACGGAAAAAATCGATCGATCATGGAGTAAAATCAAGGCCAGATGGAATTCATGAAAACACTAAATCCGGCTGCATCCGGTAGTATCGAAAAGGTCAACGAACCGGATGGAAGTAGGTGCGGTATATGAGAGTGATAGATCGGCTGGGAACAGATAGACCGAACCGCACAACAGATGGAAACATTCTGAAAATCTGCGCACTGATCTATTACCGCCGGTAACATATTCATCAGTTTACGCGTCAAAAATCATTCCCAGTTTGTTTGATGTTTGTCTGACAAGAAAGCAGCAACACGAAATGAAATCCATCAATTCACATATTAGTAGAAACAGAAATGATTGTGATTATTAAGGTGTACACAGTGATCAGATTGTACCCCTTCCAGTAACCCCTTGGATTATACGTAAGAAACAGAAGAGCAATGGCAAAAAGACGATTCAAAACGGATTGATGGCATTGATTGAAAAGGAGGAGGGACATTGACACCGGGTAAAGATTGAACTAGTTGTTGCTATAAATTGCAATAAATCTGTAATGCGGAGCAACTGTGGTGTCCGCGTAACGCGCAACTGGAGCGATCACATCTCAAAAAAGGAATCAGGACAAATTTTGTTTTCATGAACTGCAGATATACGTAGGAGCGGGTCAATCAATCTGTTATGCGTTCTGATCAAGAGAATTTCAAATCAGATGTAAAATTTTTCAGACAGGATACTAGCAATCAACCCCTGCCTCCTATTAACGTCACATCCTGTATAACCGCGGTGATACAAGTTCAAATATACTACATCGATTCTTCTAACAACAGGGCTTAATCTGACCGCAAAACGAACAGTGCACCAATGTGTACACACTGTACCGGGTATTTCGAACGTATGGGGACAGCTCGTGTGTAGTCACCTCCTTCTCCTTGTGCAGTTTGAGAATTATCATCATCAGCGTCGTACAGCGAGATACCAAGCTCACAATGTACACAAATCAAGTGATGAAGCACAAGACGGAGAGGGATCGGACCTAATTGGAGGCAGGCAAAGATGGTGAACCTCTATGGTCAGTACACAGAGCACATATCTTTTCAAGCATTCTGACCTGATAACAAATGACAACAAGAACACCACTGCTGTCAGTTAGTTGCCATATCCTTCAATGTCTCCAACTAATCAGTTGCTGAGACTTTTGGACCCCAACTTGGAAGACGAGAGACACCTACTCGACCTAATGGCTCTGTGCATTTCTTCATGCCTCGGTTCCTTGTCTTCTGTTAACTTCCATGTGGAGTCGCATTCAGCCTGAAGCTGCAGCTGAGAACAAGGCACGGGGAGGTGGACGATAGATGGGCATGCGCTATACGTGTCCGAATCAGCTAAGCCGACTAAGCTGAATTCGATGAGACAACGAATTCTCCGTCGAATTGCGACGCCTTACCTCAAAGTTGATTACAC